AAGGAAGGAATCGGCTGTAAATTCACTCAGTTTTTGTTTGAAAATATATGCAGTTTATGCTTGCTCTTAAGAGATATACACTACTTTAAACTTGAAACCAAAATATCCCCTGAAGTCATCTTAAAACCAAGTAATAGTTTAGCTTAACTAGTACAAAGGCCTGCCTTGAGCATTATGCTCTTTTAAGAACTATCTATATGGGATTAAATGATAACAGCAACTCAAAACATTAAATACCTTAGGGGGCAGTGAGTTTATGTTAATGAGGGGGAGGAACAACTCAGAAAAGGAGGGTGAAAATGATTGCACAACTCGAAGAGTGTTATCAATGTCACTAAATTGTACGTTTAGAAACTGTTGAATTGGTATATGTTTTGCTGTGTATATGCTCAAAGACAATAACAAAATAAATAAAATTTAGAAAAAAAAAGATACACACTGGGTGTTCAATTCTAGGTTGACAGTTATTTTCTTTCAAACCATTGAAGATATTTTTTCAGTTGTCTTTCAGATTCCCGGATTGCTTTTGAGTAATCAGCTCTTGGTTTAATATTCTTGTATTTGTAGTTGATCTGTCTTTTCTCTCTGACTCCTTTGAAGATATGTTCTTCATCTCTGGTGTTTTGCCATGTCACTATCATGTGTCTAGGTATGACTTATTTTTATTTATGCTTCTTGTGATTCATTGGACTTCCTAACGCTGGGCATTAATGTTTTTTTCCACCAGTTCTAGAGTATTCCCAGCTGTTATCTCTTCAAATATTGCATCTCCACTATTCATTCTTTCTTCTCCTTCTGGAACTCTGATTGGACCTATGTTAGACCTTATGGGTAAAATTATGGATAATTTCTTCATGTTCATCACTCAGTTTACTAATTATCTCTTATAATGTGTCTAATCTGCTGTTACATTAATCCACTGAGTTTTATATTATATGGTTATTTTTATTATTTATTTCTAGAAACTATTACATTTTTTTTCAAATATTCTTGGTTATTTTATAGTTCTTTGCTAATTACTCATATTTCCATTCTTTTTAATTTTATGCATATATACATACTTACATTTTGTTTAAGGAGCTCTGGTGGTGCAGTGGTTAAAGAGCTTGGTTGCTAACTGAAAGACTGGTGGTTCGAACCCACCAGCCGCTCCACAAGCAATCTGCTTCAGTAAAGATTTACAGCCTTGGTAACCTTACAGGGCAGTTCTACTCTGTCCTGTAGGATCACCGTGATTCCAACTTGACTTGATGGCAGTGGGTTTGATTTTTTTATATTTTGTATACTGCATCTAATATTTCCAGTATCCTAAGTCTTTGTGTCATTCTCCAACCTGTTGTTTCTGGAGACTAATTTATTATGCACTTTCCATAAGTGTTTTGTGATATATTAAAAAGAGTATACAGATAGAGAGATGGGTGGGTAGGTAGGTAGATAGATCGATCAATCTATAGATAGATCGATAGATGATAGGCAGGCGGGCAGACTGACTGACAGGCAGGCAGACAGACTGACAGGCAGGCAGGCAGACAGACTGACAGGCAGGCAGACAGATAGACAGACTGACAGGTGGGCAGACAGGCAGGCAGACAGACAGACTGACAGGCAGACAGACAGACTGGCAGGCAGGCAGACAGACAGACTGACAGGCAGGCAGACTGATGGATAGGCAGACAGACAGATTGACGGATAGGCAGACAGACTGATGGATAGGCAGACAGACAGACAGACCAATAGGCGTACATACAGACAGACCAATGGATAGGCAGACAGACAGACAGAACAATGGATAGGCAGACAGACTGATAGACAGACAGACCGATAGATAGGCAGACAGACTGACAGACCGATGGATAGGCAGACAGATATAATATTTGTGTGTGTGTGTGTTTGTGCATGTGTGTGTGTGTGTGTGTGTGGTGTTGTTAGGTGCCATTGAGTCAGTTCCAGCTCATAGTCATCCTTTGTACAACAGAACGAAACACTGCCCAGTCCTGCACCATCCTCACAATCGTTACTGTGTTTGAGCCCATTGTTGAAGCCACATATACGTGTGTGTGTGTGTATGTCTACTTAAATATATATATTTAAACTTTAATCTGAGACTGTTTTGAGATGTAGTTTGAAGGTGAACTCTTCTAGGAAGTATTTATATTTACCAAGCATCTTATGATCACTTGAATTAAACAGAATTTTTGGTTTCTTGAATTAAACAGAATTTTCGGTTTGAAGTTTTGTAACTACCCAAAGCAAAAAAGAACCAAACCAGTGGCCATCGAGTCAGTTCCAACTTACGGCATCCCCACGTGTTGCAGAGTAGAACTGCACCCCATAGGATTTTCATGGCTATGACTTTTGGAAGCAGATTGCCAAGCCTTTCTTCTGAGGCACTCTTGTTGGCTTTGAACCATCAACCTTTCGTTTAGCAGCTGAGTCTTTAACTGTTTGTGCCACCCAGGGACTCCTTGTAACTATCCAGGTAGTGCAAATTAAGGTAGTAAACATGGTTAAGAGCTGAATTATTACAATAATTTTTTTCTTTCATTCATCACCAAGTTTTAAGGCAGGGATTTATTTTGAAGGCCCTTCCAAGGTGAATGTTTATATCTATTTCATGCTACAATAAAACAATATAGTTATTGGAATCCAAGTTTTTTGCTGTGGGTTGCCCATTTATTGAACTGCCTACCTTGTGAATTCCCCCTTATTTTTCTCTCATCTTTATTCCCTGAGTAGCCATAAAAACTGAAGCTTAAGCTCAAATTCGCCAGTGTTTAGCTCTGCTTATCTTACTGGCTTTCCATCTTCAGCTTCTGATTGGTTCTTTCTTCATCAGAGCATCTATAAAGACCTTTTGCATATTTTATTCAACATTTTTTAAGTGTTTTCAAATAGATGTTCTGTCAGAGTGTTTAGCTTGCCATAATACTAGAAATATAAATCTTGTGATTCACAGGTACAAGGAAGAGAAGGTACAGCTAGATTAGAAAAATTAACTGATTAAGGATGCTAAAATTCAAGTATATGATATTGTAAGAAAAAATGTGCAACCTTAAATTAATTGAACTCTTAGTCATGAAGACCTAGAGAAAATGAAGATCCTGACATGTGCAATTACCCTAATAGGCAGTAAACAGATGGTAGAGACAAGATTTTGTGGTAGGTATTTCCCTGCAAAAGCTATGAGATGACATTTTTAGCTCAAAACTGAGTAATCCTCTACAGAAAAAAATTTGAGAATAGGGAGAAAGAAGGGATAGAGCAGTTTTAGAGCAACTACAAGTTATATTTACATATTTACAACTCAGAATAGGTTAACTCTCTGTTCTTTCACCTTGTTCCTGGTCAAGTTACTCTAAGACTCCAATTTCCCTATACATGGAGAGCAGGAGGTTGTGTGTTTATTGTATGTATGTTGGCATAGATTATCAAGAATGAATTATATTCTTAAGGAGAAAAAACAAACAAACATTTGTTGGGCTCTGAAGTCCACAACTTATGGTTTGCTATAACATTCTGCAGCACACAGAAGAATCTGGGCTATGATTTGTGATAGGACCAAAGAACCATGAAAAGTACCGTTAGAACATTAAGATTACTTGTTGGAAGCTTCTCATGGATTTGTCTCTATATTCTCTGGTGTGAAGTTGGGAACCATGTACATGCCTTGCATATACCTAGTGAACTTTGCTCTTGGCTTCAAGTAGAAGCTATATGAGCATATATACACCGGGGATATGTGGAAAGAAAATCGAGTGGGAGTGGGTTTTTTTGCTTAATTTTGCTTATATATTATATATATTTGCTCATATGTTGAACAAATATATAGATATTTAATTTTGTTGGTTTACAGAGGTTTAACCCATGAATTTTGTTGTCACAAAACTTATAATCAACTTGAGAAAAAAAAACATAAAAATATGTTATTATAACAATTTAAGAATAATTGAATGTTAAACCTTGTGGTAATGATGCTAAGTACAATAGGAATTGAGAGAAGGCTGAGCTTTGTGTGAGACTGGGGTAAGACTTCCTGGAATAAATGGAACCATAGCTGGGGACTTGGAAATGCTCAGGCAGAACAAGGATCAGTTTACAAGTTACGGCATGTCAGGACATAAGAATGAACACAAGGAGGAAATAAGCACAAATAAGTAACCAGCTTGATGAAAGGATAGGGAAGTAGTGAAAACCAAAATTAGGAATAGGGTTTAATTATATAGAAAACTTAGAAACCATGGAAGAAAGTTTATATTTCACATCCAATCTTTAATATGGAGCTATTGAAGCTTCTTGGGCAGAGGACCAGCGTGTTGGAAGTCATGTTAAAAGACAGTGTGATGGTTGCACAGTGTCATGAATGTAATTAATGTCACTAAACTGTATGCATAAAAATGATTAAGTTGGCAAATGTTTTATTATGTATATTTCACCACATAATAAAAAAAAAAAGACATTAAAAAACTTGGGCTTCCAGCACTAAAATCATTCCCGAGGCCAACTCTTCAGTCAAAGATTAGGCTGGACTATGGAACATAAAATGATACTCATGAAGAGTGTCCTTCTTAATTCAAGTAGATACATGAGACTAAATGGGTAGCTCCTGTCTGGAGGTGAGATGAGAAGGCAGAGAGGGTCAGGAGCTGGTTGAATGGACACGGGAAGTCAGGGGTGGAAAGGAAGAATGTGCTATCACAGTATAGGGAGAGCAATTAGGGTCTCATGACAATGTATGTATAAGTTTTTGTATGAGAAACTAACTTTAATTCTAAACTTTCACTTAAAGTATAACAATAAAATAAAATTAAAAAAATTAGGCTTCATAGGGAAGTGGGGATTTATAGGATAGACTCAAAATGGTTAAGACTGAGAAAACGTTCTAGTAGGGACAAACTAATCTATTAGTAGTATGTTCTTTGTTTAGTTACCAAAATATATATATATATATAATATAATACATAATATTAATATGAAAATATCAATGTGTTTATATTTTTTAGAGGGATTCCAGGGAAGAAATGTGGTACTATCATACTTACAGCAGAGGAATTAAATTGTTGCAGGGTAAGTAAGTATTTCTTCAGTTTAAAAAATATTTCTAGTACTTCTCAGAAATATTTCTGAAACAGTATTTAAATAATTAGTTCTCAAGTAATTTTAGCAAAAAATAAAACTATGTTGCATAATTCTAAAATCCATAAAACATCAATGTAGATATTTAGCCCTTTGACTATATTTTGTGTATATTTTAACCAGAGAAACTACATTACATAGGCCAAAAAAAGATAACCAGTTATTTTAACAATCTTTCTAAAGAATAGAAATTATTAAATTAAAACCTAATGTCAACACCATATTTTTAGGCATTAGGATAAGGAATCACCAATTGTTCCAGTCAGTTCAATTCTTGCAAAAATTTTGAAGATTTATATGTGATTATGAAAGAAAATGCGTAGTTACTTGAGTTTTAGTGCCTTCAAATAAAACATACTTGTTTTTTTCATATTTCTAATTGGATTCCATTCACATTTGAAGAGAGGACCAGCCACCACTATAGATAGGAACATGACTACTTAGAGTGCATAGTCTGTATTTTTAGAAAACTGCTATTTTTAGTTGATTTGCTGCTATACTGATTGACTCATATTCAGTGATTTCACTGTCGCCAAGAAATGAGGTGATAGCTGTGACACTCCACAAGGGAAGTAATGATGGCTGTCTGAATCTGAAGGCAGTATAATGTGTTTTATGTGGCCCAGTGGTTCTTTGGGAATTGTTATTTCCGGGAAAAAAAAAAGTTTGTCCTAGATTATATGTCTCGGGTTTTTTATCTAGATTTCTTGCTTCATGATATTAGGAACAGAGAATACTAACAATTTAATAGTTTAACATTGGCCATAAAATAAAAATTTTTATATCGGGACCTATAATTTATTTTATTACTTTAGTTTGTAATTTTAATCTCCAGAGGTTTTCTTCAGCTAACTACTGTGGATTTATACATATAATATGTTTCTGAGACAATGTGGTCAGAGCACTATATTATATTCCAAGTGATTACATATCTTTGGGATGTTGGGGAAAAAAAAGAGTGAGATAACAATGTTGTTGTTGTTAGGTACTGTCAAGTCAGTTTCGACTTATAGCGACCCTCTGTACAACAGAGCAAAACACTGCCTGGTCCTGTGCCATCCTCACAGTTGTTGCTATGTTTGAGCCCATTGTTGCAGCCACAGTGTCAATCCATCTCCTTGAGGGTCTTCGCCTTTTTCCTGACTCTTTACTTCCCCAGTAATGATGTCTTTCTCCAGGGACTGGTCCCTCCTGATAACATGTCCAAAGTACATGAGATGAAGTCTCACCATCCTTGCTTCTAAGGAACATTGTTGCTGTACTTCTTCCAAGACAAATTTGTTTGTTCTTCTGACAGTCCATGGTATTTTCAGTATTCTTCGCCAACACCATAATTCAAAGGCATCAATTCTTCTTCTGTCTTCCTTATTCATTGTCCAGCATTTGCATGCATGTGAGGCAATTGAAAATACCATCGCTTGAGTCGGGCACATCTTAGTTCTCAAAGTGACACTTTTGCTTTTCAACAGTTTAAAGAGGTCTTTTGCAGCAGATTTGCCCAGTGCAGTACGTCATCTGATTTCTTAATTGCTGCTTCCTTGGGCGTTGATTGTGGATCCAAGTAAGATGAAATCCTTGACAGCTTCAGTCTTTTCACCATTTATCATGATGTTGCTTATTGGTTCAGTTGTGAGGATTTTTGTTTTCTTTACGTTCAGATAACGATAGGAAACTATAATAACAAGCTTGTGGAGAGAATTAAATAAGAACATTAGAATTTAAGTAGTTAAAAAGGCCTTCAAATTAACACTTCCCTATTCCTCATTCTCCATTATCTTTGGGCAAGTCATAGCCACATGAGTCTCTGATTTCTTGTCTGTTAACTACCCAGAACCTACCTGCAATATAACACAGTGAAAGATCATCAGACTGCAGTTGAATTTTGGTTTTACTGCTAATTTGTACTTCACTTACCAAATCACTCAACTGCTCTGAGTTTAATTTCCATATTTGCAGGGAAAAAAATTGTAAACCAGTCACTAGACTGTTAAGAAATTTTCCAGCTCTGATAAACTATGACCATAACATTAAATTTGCTAATATAATGTAGATGGAAGCATTGTATATGTATTAAAAATGCCTTTCAAAAGTCATGTAATTATTTAAATATAGAAATATTATCTACATTCCTGTTTTTCAGCTAAAATGGCACATTGATATGTCTTTTAGTTATTTCACCTAATAACCTTTTATACTTTTTGTCTCTAAATTTGTATATTTGTATGATAGTGTGTGTTTTATATAACGAGGGAGGGAAAAGAAGAATCTGTTCAGGGTCAATAAGAAAAATTCTTTATGGTGACATTAACATGCCATTTTGTCAAGGTCTTGAGTTCATTAAGATGATTTTGTATAAATATGCCAATGCACACGTTATCGTCAGTTCAATTTCTCAAAATGGAATTGAGAGACCAAGGGCACAGACTGCATATTAAATATCTTCCCCTTTCATTTCTATTGTCTTGGTTGGAAAGATACGAAAAATTCTTCTAAAGCTTCCATGCAGATGAAATAGAATCTGTTACTTAGTGACCAAGGTCCTCCCCTTCTCCTTTTTACTACTGAAGCACTAAGAACATTTGGATTTATCTTTCAATAGGTAAACATATATGTCCCATATTCATAAAATATAGAGCTAATATTTTTAATGAGTATGATCTAAGTTTATCTTTCATTTCTTATGTTCCAGTCTTAGCTACAGCTTTACCAATTATTAGCATCTTTATTAATACTTATAAACCTTGGTATAATATTACATTACTATGCTAGTATGGTAGAATATACAAGTGAATTCAAAGAAATGTTTATAGTTACTTCAGAAGAGACAATGTCTTCTTTTTTTTTATTTATTTTATTGTATATTTGGCTAAAGTTTACACAGCACATTAGTTTCCCACATAACAATTTCTATACATATTGTTCAGTGACATTGGTTACATTTTTCACAACGTGTCAGCATTCTTATTATTTCCATTGTTGTTAAAGAGCACAGTACTCCCGGATGATACTATTTATTTTAGGAGCCAGTCTATTATTTGGCTAAAAGGTGACCTCCAGGAGAGGCTGCAGTTCTAAGTTTAAAGGGTAACTCAGGGCCACAGTCTTGGGGATTCCTCTAGTCTCTACTGGTCCAGTAAGTCTGGCCTTTTTTAGAAATTTGAGGTTTGTTCTATATTTTTCTCTGATTCTGTCTGGGACCATCTCTTGTGTCCCTGGTCAGAATGGTCATTAGTGGTAGCTGGGCACCATCTAGTTCTTCTGGCATCAGGATAGATGAGGCCTTGGTTCCTGTGGGCTATTAATCCTGTTGACTAGTTTCTTCCTTGAGTCTTTGAGTTCCTATTTTCTCTTTTGCTCCAGATGAGTATAGACTATTAGTTGTATCTTGACGACTCACAAGCTTTTAAGATCCCAGATGCTGCTCACCCAGCTAGGATGTAGAACAATATCTTTATTAACTATGTTATGCCAGTTGACCAAGTTGTCCCCTGAGACTATGATCCTAAGCCTTCAAACCCAGTAAACCAATCCTGTGAGGTGTTTGGTTATGTCTAGGAAGTATCCATAACTGTGCTTCCTATGTGCTTTATTATATATTTGAATACATATGCAGCACACACAAACCTGTACATACATGTCTACAGATACACCTATATATGCACGTCCATATACTCACATGTTCCTTCCTATACACATATATGCGTACATATCTACCTATGTAACCACCCACCTATTTTTTGGTTATTATTACTATGGTTGTAAAATTGTATATATTATAGCGTTTATCAAAATTGTCCTTTATTGTTGCATACTTCTTAGTGTTATCATTTACCTTGGTCAAGTTGTGCAGACTTCACTCATATTGGGTATTTCCTTTCCCATCAACAAAAATAACAAGTGTCTACTATCTATGAAGTGATTCTCCCTCCCTCTCCCTCCCTGGTAACCATCAAAGAATGTTATTCTCTGTATATACCTACCTATTCTTGTCCTTATATGAAAGTGAAACCATGCAATATTTGTCCTTTTTTAAAGACAGTATCTCCTTATTTACATTTTAGGGTAATTTAAAAATATCAGAAATTATCTTTTAGAATTTTGAATAATTTTATATTACATTTAACACCATATAAAGCTACATTTTCTTTTATTTAAAACAAGTTGTCAGTTATTAACTTGTTGTACAATGAGCATAGGCTTTGGAGTCAGAACACCTGAATTTAAATCTTGTCTCTTTCACTATTCAGCTGAGAGAAGTTATATTCTTGGCACTTTAATTTCTGCGTCTGCAAATTGTTCTTATTCTTCCTCAGATGGTTTTTCTGTAAGAAAAAAAAAAAAAAAACAGACAAAGAAAACTCTGGCCTTTGCCTTTAATAGACACATAATTCTTGAGAAAGACGAACATTAATGAGATGACTATGCAGTTAAATATATGTCATGATATGTCATAAGGATTTAAATATATTATGAGAGAGTACGATGTGGCATCTAATTTATATTGGAGAGGTGGTCCCTACAGGCTTCTTTGAGATAGTGACATTTAAGCTAAGACCAAAAGAATGAGTAGTGGTTTGCCAAAGTAGGAATTCCAGGCAGAGGGCACAGCTTGTGTAATGTTCTAAGGTGGAAAAGAGTGAGTATGTCTGGTGTGTGATAGCGAGCAGTAAGGAGTTAGGGGGTGATTGAAGTAAAACTGCCAGGTGAAGGTGGAAAAAGCTCATCCAAGCCTCTTTCACGTTGGGCTTTGTGGGCCATTCTAAAGATTTAGTATTGTATCCTAAATGCAATGGGAAACTTGGAAGTGTTTTAAATTGTGAGCAACATGATTTCTTTCATGTTTGAAGAACATCATTCTGACTGCTGAATGGAGAAAGGTTTGGATAGTTTCAAAAGTAGAAATGCGAGGAAGGAGCCAATGCCACTGCACTTGCTCAGGTGAGGTTAGTGTCAACTAAGAGCTGAAGGGAAATGTTTTAGAGGTAGAGTGGTGCAGCTTGGTGATGGTTTGGATAAAGCGCAAGGGAAAGGGAGAAACCAAAGATGGCTTCTTTGAGCGGTTAGGTCAGTAGTGATGCCACTAATTGAGCTGAGAAAACTGTAGGAGAAGCAAGTTTAGGGATAGATATTAAATATGCTTAGTTTTGAACTTGCAAAACATCCAAGTAGATTTTTATAAATCCAAGTGGATTTTATAAATAGGAAGTTAGTTATACTGGATTAGAGCACTGAAGAAAGATTTTAAAAATTTATCAGGTGACATTAAGTGTGAGAATTAAAAAAAAGAAGAAAAACACCTTTGCAAAGATGTTTGTGTATTTCTAAAAATAAATAAATGCTTTTTTTTAATTCCCAAAATTAGATTTCTTTGTATGGGTAGAATTCCTGCTAAATTATTAACCAGAGTAATTGCAAAAACATTTTCCCCCCAAGGTTATATAATTCAGTGCCTTGAGGAAATTTTTTATTTTGAATCAGTTATTCACTTTGCAAACCTTAAGGAATATAATTTGGAAAACTAAAACTTGTTATTAAGTTTAACAATGAGAATATGAAAATTATTGTTTCAATATTTAATCTCTTTGAGTCTTATTAACAATCAATTTGAAGTATACACATTTCATTTATCTAGTATGCATTTTAAGTATGTCAGAATATTTCTTGGGAATTTGTATTATGGTCCAGGTGCTTTGGGAGAATGTCTTTAAAAAGAATGACTTATTCTACAGCAAAAACAATGTCGTTGGAGTTGTCCCCATGATCTTAGGAAACATTCTCTCCCAACGGTATTTATTGTATGTGGAGATGAAAGGGTGTTCAAAAAACACAACACAGTCTTTCCTTCTCAGTCCTGCCCTTCATTGTGTAGTTAGTTCATCCAAGATGATTCTCTCACTGCTTGCGCCTTAATGGATGGGGTAGCAAATTTTGATCTATAAACCTCAAATTTGAAAAGAAAACAATCATGGTAGAGCAGTTTGAGGTGATAGTGATGTCTATATTGTTCTTACCTTTGTTCTTGTTTAATTTTTCTTAAAATGTATATCTTTGCTCGGTCTGGCTAGAAGAGTATTTCCTGCACTATTATGAATGTTCCTCTGAAGGAAGTTACCAATTTTGTATACTAAATAATAATGTGAACTGACACTAAAATGATGCTTTTGAAAATAAGAAATGTAAATTATGAACTTTCCAAGGCACAAAATGTCTTATTCATTTTTCCATTCCTCGAGTTTAGCTTGAGTATTGCTTGAGAAATGTTTGTTAAGTGAGTAAATGAATGAATGAATCTTTTGTATAGTGTTCTGGAATTACTAAACAGATATAATGAGAATTTTAAGTAGATGCTTAATAATTGCTTGACTCTACAAAATAAGGATGTGGTGAATGAGAGAGTGCTATTTTAGTAATCGCTAACATTTTCACCAAATGGTATTTAAAACTGTGGCCTCCTAATTTAATCTGAATTACTTAGACCTTCCACCTCTTTCCAAAAATTTTAGCATCTCCCTGCAGTTTAAAACAAAAACTAAGACACTGATTTTAATTTTTAAATTACTACATATTTTCTATTTTTAAAATACTTATCCTGCTTATTTGATTGTTTAACCTCCTTGAATTATGATACCCCAACTTATTTTCCTTTAAGCTCAATCATGTAGATTTTGAATACTTGAGTATATAGCTTGATAAAAGTGATTTATCTGGCATAATAATTACACAAATATACAATTTAAAATATAGATAAAAATGAAGGTACTTTACTTGAAGTCCAATATTACAGAAATTATTTTAAAATATAGTTATGGAGACAATGGTGTACTTGTGTATAATTAAGGAGTCGCCCCACTAGATTATAAACAGTGTGGCCAGAGTTTATATTTGTCTTTCTTCCCATTGTATGCTCAACATGTAAGATATAGTAGATGCTTAGTAAACAGCCTATGTGTACCTGAATGACTGAAGAAGTGAATGAAGATGCTGTATTATAATAGTGCCTACCTATTGTCATCTAGGAAACCCTGGTGGTGTAGTGGTTAAGAGCTACATCTGCTAACCAAAAGGTCAGCAGTTTGAATCTACCAGGTGCCCCTTGGAAACTCTATGGGGCAGTTCTACTCTGTCCTATAGGGTCACTATGAGTCGGGATAGACTCAACGACAACAGGTCTGGTTTTTTTGAATCGTCATCTAGGGAGTAACTGGGTAGTGCAAACGGTTAAAGCACTCGACTGCTAACCAAAAGGTTGGAGGTTCAAGTCCACCCAGAGGCACCTCAGAAGGCCTGGCAATCTACTTCCGAAAAATTAGCCATTGAAAACCCTATGGAGCACAGCTCTACTCTGTCATACATAGAGTGAGTCAGAGTCTACTTGATGACAACTGGATGATGATAATGAGTGTCATCTAGCTTAATATCACTCTTAAGGGGGAAAACATTAAAGGATTTTAAAAAATAATACTACTGTGACTAGAATTAAAACTTGCAGAGTCGATTTTTTACTATCTCACAGTCCTTTACAAAACAATTTTATGTTGTCTGGGACTCTTGCATACTTTTCCATTTGCATTAAAATGGCAAATTTGGTTTTTTGTCAAGTCTTGCTTGTGGTTTGCAGTTTCTAGGTATTTGTAGCCCAGAATTTAAGCTGTTTTATTAATTTTGTTTTTAGGATGCTGTTTTGATGCAATTTTGTGCAAACAAATTGGACAAGAAGGACTTCTTTGGAAAATCTGATCCTTTTCTTGTATTTTATCGAAGTAATGAAGATGGCAGGTAGGTTTATCTTTTGTGTATTTTAACTCTATGATAAGAATGATATTTGAATTATTTTTTGCAGAATCTCATTAAACTGATAAATGAAGTAAAATGTTTTGGTATTTTAAAAATTGATGCGATTTTTGCATTGCAATAACAATGTGTAATTTTATGTGTTTTGCTTGGTATTTAAAATGAATGATTCTCAATTTCATAGAAACATTTCTGATATACTTTTCATAAAATATTGCCTTTATAGTATATAGTAATTACACTTTTCTGGAAACCTAAAATGCTGAAACTAATGTATTTTGTTATAGAATTAAACTTGAACCTTTTACTTGAGAAGAGAAGTAAATTTTATGGGCCCTGGTGGCACAGTGGTTAAGCATTTGACTGCTAACCAAAAGGTCGGCAGTTTGAATCCACCAGGCGCTCCACAAAGATGTGGCTGTCTACTTTGGTTAAGATTTACAGCAGTTCTACTCTGTCCTATAGGGTCACTAAGAGTCGGAATCAACTCAAAGGCAGCTTTTTTTTTTTTTTAAATGCTATAGTTTTTTTCTAATGATATCTAATTTTAAATAAAATTTTTACTATATTCTAGCAACTTGAATATTTTTTGCCAGTAGGGAATAGACTGATTTTTGTGTGTTTGAAAATGTACCCATGGGTTTTAGCATAGATTTCAATTATATAATTTAATACATATGACTCTAACATTAAACATATTTGACTGTCATTTTCTTTGATTCACACTGTACTGTTAGTATTTGTGGAAAAGTTTACTGATTAAAAATGTGGTCTAAAGCTCTTGCCTGGATTTAAATTATAACCTTGCTACTTAATAGCCATGGGACCATGGACAGTTTATTTAACCTTTGTAAACCTTAGTTTTCTCGTAAGAAAATGGGGTAATAACAATACTTACTAAATAGGGTTGTTGAGAAGATTATGAGTTACTACACAAAAAAATACTTAAAAGCATGTCCGACACCAGAAAAGAACATATAAGTTAATTATTATTTTTCATTATTAATAGTATCTAATAATATAATGTTTTCATTTTTTGTTTCCCTTAACTATTTATAACAAAGCAATAGCTAAAGAAGGAATATTGTTTGGAAATTTAAAAGAGAAAGAAATAGAATGAAAAAAATGTCACTATTACTACACTTAATAAAGTTATACATGTTAACATTAAGTAATAAGTATATAAAATATCACATTGTCTTATTTACTTAGTGCTGCCATAACAGAAATACTACAAGTGGGGGACTTTAAAGAACACAAATTTATTTTCTCACAGTTCAGGAGGCTAGAAATCAGAATTCAGTGCGTGGCTCTAGGTAGATGTTCTTCCTTGTTTATTTCAACTTCTAGTAGCTGCCAGCAATCTTTGGAATTCCTGGTTTGTAGATACGTCTGTCACCTGTCTTCCTCTTCTCCTTGTGTGTGTCTCTGTATCAAATCTGGTCTTTTATAGCTCAAAAAGGATTTGGTTTAGGATCCACCCTACCCTAGTGTGGCCTCATTAACATAACAAAAGAAGAACCTTATTTCAAAACAGGGTCATATTTACAAGTACAGAGGTTAGAATTACAATGCATATTTTAGGGGTACATAATCCAATCCATAACATACATATATACAAATAGGAAGTTTGCTACTTAAAGTTAATACACTGAGCAGCATAAAATGATGCTTTACTTATCATGGAATTTTTATTGATGCAGCTATAGGACAGCTGTAGGATATTTTAGTTATGGTGCCATATTATTGGGTTTTGTGTACTTCCCTTCTATTTTGGTAGTAAAATTGTCAGAATATCTTTTGCAACTGAACACTATTTTTATCAATATGAAAAAGGCTCCTCCTTTCTGAACTACTTTTTCCCTGAATTTTCTATTTTTATTTATTTAGTTTTCTTTAAAGATTCTTTAAAAATTATATAAAGAGTAGTTATAAAATTATAGAATTTTAGTTTATCACACATTTTTTGCTACTGGTGAGACTTTTATTAATACTTTTATTTTTTTTATAAGAAAAAAGCATTGTGCTTATAAAAATGATACTAATTTTTTATTATATAAAATCTAAGTATTAAGAAAAAAGTACATTATTATATAAAATCTAAGTATTAAGAAAAAAGTACAACTTATCCAAATTTCAAATCATTTAAAGACAACTATTACTAAAATTTAATAAGCCTCAACACACACACATTTTCTGTTTTGTTTTGATGAGTTTTGAACGAGTAAAGTAAAAATGCTTTTACTCCTCATATTTTACCTGTAAGTCTCTATTTTTAACTAAGAGTTTCAGCTTTATTTTTTTTTGTTGTACTTTAAGTGAAAGTTTACAATTCAAGTTAGACTCTCCTACAAAAATTTATACATACATTGTTATGTAACCTAATTGCTCTCCCTATATTGTGACAGCACACTCCTTTCCACCCTGGATTTCCCATGTCCATTCAACCAGCTCCTGACCCTCTCTGCCTTCTCATGTCACCTCCGGACAGGAGCTGCCCATTCAGTCTTGTGTATCTACTTGATTTCAGCTTTATTTTTAACATTTGAAAAAGTGCCTGCTATATAGTGTGTTGGATGCTAATTTTAAAATATACAATAAAAACATAATTTTATTAGAAGCATTAATTTTAAAAAATTAATAATATATGATTTTGAATTATTTTCTTGCTTTCAAGTTTATTTAGTAATTTTCCTGGTATTCATGAGGTAAGAATAATTTTCCTTTGGAATAGCTGGTTTTCATAAATGACACTTTGTTTAAATTACTTTAATATAGATGATTTCTATAATAAAGGAAATATTTTTCTTACAATAATATTTGTAATACACACACACTTATATTTATATAGCAATACTCCTGAATATTAGAAAAAGCTACATCACATTCCTATCAGAATTTTCACTAGTTACATGAGTACTGAAATTCTTACTAGTGCGATTGTTCGGTCTATATCATATCTAATGCATTACAAGTGAGAATGATTAATAGGAGACAAATGACTACCTGGTTTATAAATATCTTACTAAAGAAGAGTCACTTTCTTAAGAAGAATATGAAGTTTCAAGTGTCAAAGTATTTAATGACTGCCACTGGTGATGCTAGGAATATGACAGGGATTTTGATTCAACCATAAGTGAAGAGGCCAAATATTCAGTGGAGCCCTGGTGGTATAGTGGTTAAGAGCTCAGCCGCCAACCAAAAGGTTAGCAGTTTGAATATACTGGCCACTTCTTGAAAACCTTATGGGGCACTTCTACTGTGTCCTATAGGGTCACTATGAGTCAGAATCAAGTAAACTGTTGAATGTATTTGTTTGAAGATGGTTGGTCAGACCAACCATCTTTCTCTCTCTCACTCTCGTCTGCCTACCTACCTATCACCATACCAAAGACTTTCTATGTACTAGAATATGATATAGAAGAAGAAGAGAAATCCACTTTTGTAGATTTTTAGGAATGTACTGAATTAATTATGAGAGGAGACAGATGCCTGTTTCTAAAACAACCAGCGTGTTGTGTCTTCCCATAATTGGGTCCCTATGGATTTTTTAAAACTCTTTTTCTATATTTTTGACAGTCCTCATTTTTTCTGTCTGTGTTTTTTTTCCTGCCTACTTCTTCCCTATCCCCTTTGCTTTCCTTCCCTCTGCTTTCTGTGTCTTGATTGCCCTTTTCAGAGTCCTCTCTGTCTCCCCTCTATCTTTCAATGCCTTTTACTCCCAGTAGTTCCTAAATTGGTTCAGGTGAGTCAACTCTGAGAACATTTGACCACAGATATGTTCTCCTGAGCTCTGTCAATTTAGTGACATGAGCTTCCTTCGCTGGGCTAGAATACTACAGAGAAGAAGATGATGCTAATGTTGTAAGTCTTGCAATGAATGATCACTGGATCTCTTTATACTATATTTCTATCCCATCTCTTAATAGAAACAAACCCCCTTGCCTGAGAGGAGGAGAATGGGCCCACAGGGTTTTCAAAATGAGACCATTTTCTTGTGGAGGTTAGATGCAGTATGTTCACTCTGGTATTTATGTACTATTTCCATGTTGTGTGACTGATAGAGAAATCCCTGCATTTGGAACACCATGACTAAGTTCTTTGTGAGGACTGGGTTTTTTGGTATTTGTTCTTACCAAGATCAGTTTATATGTTTTGTAACTCATGAACTGCTGCATAAATTCACATTAGGCAAGAACATTTCCAGGAGCTGATGGATATATGAAGATTACATAGTTTGGTGGAAACAACAATGAAATTTGAACTAGAAAACCAAGTTTAAGGCTTCATAGAGTCTACTCCTAATTAATTGTGTGCTTTTGAATCGCTGTCTTCCTTCCTTTTAGTAGTTCTTTAGCTATTCAGAGCCAATAGTTTAGATAAAGAGAGAACCACATACTGAGTGGTCTTACTGTTAACTGATGATGCTAATTTTAAGTGTAATGTCCAGCAATCCTACTTCTTATCCTTAATGCATCAATTTTCTGTCTCCCAGACATTTCAGTACTTCTGCCCGTTTTCCCCCTTTGCTGATGATCATGCTTCCTGTTTCCTGAGGAAACAGAAGCAGTCAGAGCATTTCCTTATGCTCCCATCACAACATCTACCTGTGTTCTCTGCCATCCCAATGGTTCCTGCAGATTGGCTATCTGTGCTTCCAAGGCTAACTTCTCCACTGATGCCCTAGATCCCCTCCACTCTCACCTACTCAAAGACATTGCTCCAGCCTTTCTCTTTCCCTCATGCATCAGAAATTGTTTCTTCTCTACTGGATCTTTTCCTTTAACATACAACCTTGCTGTTATTTTTTTGTTTATTTTTCATTTTGAAAAAATAAAGTAATTAAGTAACAAATCCTTTGCTTGACTGATCATTCCTCTAAAGCTATCCCCAATTTCTCTAGTTCTCTTTACAGCTAAATTCCTCAAAAATGTTGTTTACACAGTCTTTCTCAGTTTTCTTCTCTCTTTCTTAAATTCACTCCAACCAGGTTTTTGTCCCAGTATTCCCACAAACCTGTTCTTCTCAGGGTTACTGATGACCTCGATATTGTTAGTGGCCTGTGGTTATTTCTCACATGCATTTTCTGTGTCATTGTGTCCTCACATTTTTTGTAGAGCTTATTTACAAAACAGCCTTAAGATTTATTGAATATGGACAGGCTTTTTAAAATAAACTTATTGTAAAATTTTATTGCTTTATATTATAGTGAGCTAATCCTTAAGCATTTAAAATCATATAACTCTTCTTGTTAAATGATAATAGAAGCAACAGAGGGACTGGCAACATTTATTCTGCAAAAAAGAAAGAGGAGTGCATATGAAAACAATGTGCCATGACTGAATCATGAAAATAACTGAAAACATTTTTTTTTTACAGTTTTACAATTTGTCATAAAACGGAAGTTGTCAAGCACACTCTGAATCCTGTATGGCAAGCGTTCAAGATCTCAGTCAGAGCCTTATGTAATGGAGATCATGACAGGTAAAATACATGACAACTTTTCTGAAGGTTTTGAATATTCAGACCACAAAGTTTTGTGGTTTCTTTTCTGTGTATTCAAGAATCTAAGAAAAAATAAAAAAGAAATTAATTAAGCTGATGTTTTTGCCTATGTAAATATGTATTTACAAACTTGTGGCTGATTTATTTAAAATTTTTCTAATATTGTTTTTAATCCATGTTGATTTGGGGAAGAGGAAATATTTGGCCAATTAAAATTTGGTAAACTGACTGATTTTTAAAAAATTAAAATGTGTAAAGTGTCAAAAACATATTGAATACTTGTTTAATGTGTAACTTAGTATTCAAAAGTCACTCCAGAATTTTCATTGCCTCAGGGTTTTCAAATGGTATAGTATCCTTCCATAGTGGAATAAGTAGGTATACAAGAGGTACAAGATTATGACTAGGTATATTATCAACCCAGTCACATTCTTGAAATTGCTTTTTGGTATACCTTTTCTCCTGGTTGCTAACTCATAGAAGTTCCAAGGATGTGTACCAGTGAGATTCTGTTGTTTTACAAGTATTACAAGTCGCTGGGCCCTGATAGTCTTCCAACAATGTATCTGAAGATTACTTAATATCAAAGTTTTTTTCTATTACTTTGTGAAAATTGATGGTACCATGATAATATAAACAATCTCCTCCCACCCCAAAAGAAAAGCAAATAAATAAAAAGTAAAACCCAATAGCAAAATAAGTTTTGTTTTTCTTGTTGGTTATATATTAGAAAAATGGGAGTTTATTCTATTAATCAATATTTTAGAAGAAATTATTACCAGTGTCATTAAATCTACTTTAAATTTTATGATGCCACTTAGTATCATTTTATTCATTTAATAAGGAATCATAGCTTCATTTAAATGGACTCATTCTTTCTCTAAGAAAGTAGTTCTTATAATGCGGTTCTTATATTAGCAGCATCAGCATCATCTGGTAACCTTGTAGAAATTCATATTCTCCAGCCCCAACCCAGACCTACTGAACCAGAGATCTGGGCATGAGGTCCAACAACATGTGTTTTGATAAGTCTTTCATGTGATTCTGATCCATGCTGAGTTTGAGAAATGCTATGCTAGGACATGGTTTTCAAGAGTCGAGAAACAGAGTGCGTGTCTCCTCATTAAGAAGCTCTGTCAAATTACACATACTCCCTCCATATACTTTCCCCATTCCCTTCAAAGAATCAATACAAATTTTAGAAACAAACTTTAAGATGTAACTTATAGTAATAATATTAGCAAAATCAACTTCGATTACTTTGTAAAACCTGTAAGTATACATACACTATTTTGTCTGATTTAGAAAATACACAATTTATTTTTTTCCTCAATCATATATTGTTTTGATCTTACTAAGTGACTTTACTCTGTGTATGTTTTTCCCATGGACAGAACAATCAAAATAGAGGTTTATGACTGGGATCGAGATGGGAGGTAAGACATTTTGTTTATTCTTTTGTTCTCGTTCTTGAACTTGAATATATTTTAGGAAGCGAGTATACTGATGAAATGATGACAGTTTTAATTAAAATTTTCAGATTGCGTACTTTATCTTGGTTTTTCAAATGTTACTGAAGTGTTTTAAGATTTTAAGATTGAGTGTATTTTCTTCAACTTGGAGATTAAAATAAAGATCTTCCTCATTTTCAGTAACATAGTAAAGATTTTCAACTTGGACCTTGAAAGTTCTCCTGTGTTCAACTTACAGACACCTAGTTTCTTAGCTGTAGAGCGATGATTCTCAACTTTCTGCATTCTTAATCTCCCTTTATAGCCAATGTCATTCATAGGAGCACATGTATGCACGTGCCTACACATATGCTCACATGTGCATGCACGTGCACACACACACACACTTCAAACAAACAAAAGAAAACAGAACTTTAGAATTATGTCTGGACTATGAGCTCCATAGTCATGGTCTCCCTTTGCATAGCACAGCAAATATTAAAGGCCAAAAGAGATGAAATGAACTACTTTTTATCTTTTTTTCTTGAAGCATTTTCCACTGTCTCTACTGTTTTAAGTAGGATTGACGGTGAGGTGTTTTAGATGATGCTAAGCTAACAGACTCATAAATGCTCAAATCCAGCCTTGGTCTAGCCAGTTGTCTCTACTGGTGATTACTGAAGGGACTGAATATACACATGCCCAAGGAAATGGGATAGCAATAGGAAAGCAAAGGGCACTTAATTTTTCACTTGGCTAATGCTCTAAACTTCAGCCTAGAGCTCACTGATAAATGGAGCTGAAGCATAAGGTTAAAGCTCAAGATCTAAGCAAGGCCTTTCTCTCTACATTATATACAAGTAGCCAAGCCCAAAGAGATGAGAGTGCCTAGATACCTGAGCGCTACTGTGAATAAAGGAGCAAGTTCAAGAGGGCTGGCCCATCCTGAGGGGACATCCTTCTCATCCCTTTGCACAAGTAGGAACATCTCCGCCAAGAGAGCCACGTGCAAGCATGTATATGACATTTACCCATCCACCCACTCATACATGGTCCAGTAAGTGTCCTGGTATTTGACCCAACTAGCATTTTCTCATTTTCAAGAAGTATAATAAGGGAGGATGAAGAAAGAGGTGGAGCTACCACCAAGAAGCTATATAAGACTCAGTGGTTTTGATCTTCAAGTTCTATCCCAAACAGGATTGTGCTAAAGGGTCCAAACATGGGTTTGAAGTTTACTTTTAGAGATGATATGTGCTATAGCACTGATCTTTACATTTCTACCAGGTTATTCATCTAATTATTGATTTTTTTTTTTTAGGTTTAATTTACATGTTTCATTTACATTTATGTGTTAGGTTTCATTGTACGTGGTTTCTGGAGAAAGCTCAGCAGAAAACCTATGTTTTCCCCAAGGCATTTATGCCCTATTGCTTCATTGAACTTTATTCCTTGAGAAAAGGAATTTTATTCCCCAGAATAAATAGAAAAGGACATAGTGCCATTTGAGTAAAGGAGGACTTTATGACATAAATACCCTGTTTCAAAATTTATTTGGGAATGGGCAAAAGTGGTAGTCTTTCCCGAGTAACTTTAGGAAATTGGGAAAATGGTTCAATTTGACCACTTAGAAAGGAAGGCTATAAATTTTTGTTTCATCTGCAACCATCACCATTCAATGCTACACTTACAGATAGATATTATATTGTCTTGTTTTGAAAGGCGAGTATCTAGGATTCTCGTGTTACTTCTGTCTTCTAAGCTATAAGAATTTTGAGTAGCTTTGAGGATCAGAATTCCCTTGAAGTTTAATTATTTTTTATTCTGATGTTGGGATTTTGAGCATTACTAGCCAGGTTATGATTTTTTGAATGGTTCTAATGTGTCAGATACTCTCTAAGCTTTTTTAATGTTATTGATTTAATTTTCACAATAATCCTATGAAATAGGTACTATATTAATCCCATTTTACAAATAAAGGAACTAAAGTACAGAAGTAACTTGCCTAAGGTCATACAACTAATAAATGGTAGAACCATAACTTGAACTCTGACACTCTGATTCCAACAGTGCACTCTTAACTAATACATTATATATCTATAGCATTATAATTGTAAATTCTGACATTTAAATAAAAGTCTTCATCTGGACATTGGTCTTACTCTATGATACTTTAGTAACTAATAATGTGGTAATTATGAAAAATGCAAAATCTGTTAAAATAATATAATTTAATTTTTTTGTTACTTGTCATTTTATACGATTCACTTTATTTATAAAAGTGGCTTAAACATTTCCTAGGTAGCAAGTATTATGTAAAAGGAATCAGGTAGAGAGAAATGAGTATTATAGTCTCTGAAAGAACCCTATCAGCCATTGAAAAGACCAGTAAAATATCTAAAAGAGCTGGCTTAGGTAAAGAAAATTTAAATATTCTTAAATATTCTTGGTAACTCTTTCAATTGCATAATATTATACATGATTTTTTGAAAGGCACATCAGTCACCAATAAAAAAAATAATGCATAAATCTCTATAAAATATAGATATTAACTTTATAGTGCAATAGTGATAGTCACCTTAAGGATTATTATACAAGTTGATATTCCAGCTTGTGGTTACGTGTGGTAAACATGGTTAAGCACTCTACTAGGAACAGAAAGGTTGGCAGTTTGAACCCACTCAGAGGCACCTCAGAAAATAGACCTGGTGATCTACTTCTTGAAAACCCTATGGAGTACAGTTCCACTCTGCAACACGTGGGGTTGCCATGGGTCAGAAATAACTAAAGGACAACTAGTTTTTATTATACTTTTTACATGCATTTTGTTTTTTTGACGTAATTTCCCAGCGTAGATGTCCTTTTCTTAAATCAGAGTGAATATGATGTGACATTATGTATCATGACCCAGTGAAATTGTCAGCAGACTGTTTCCTATAGTTTTATGTTTATCTTCCTGGCGTCTTTAATATTAGCCCTAAATCCTGTACATGTGTCTTTTTTTTTTTTTTTTTGCCACTGTATATCCATACCCAGAACTTTGGATTCCTCTTATTGGAAAAGATTACTTCATGGATTTTTTTTAAAGTTTAGACCAGCATTGTTCAATAGAAAAATAAAGTAAGCCACATAGATAATTTAAAATTTTCTAGTATCAACATTAAAAAGTAAAAATAAACAGCTGAAATTAATGTAATAATATATTTTGTTTAATCCTATGTGTCTAAAATATTATCACTTGCACATGGTATCAATATAAACATTTATATTGAGAAATTTTACTTTTTTTAATATTCTCTTCGAAATCTGGTGTCTATTTTATGCTTACAGCACATCTCAATTCAGACTAGCTACATTCAAGTACTTTATAGCAACATGTGAATATTGGCTACCGTATTGGACAGAACCACCTAAACTTTAATTGAAGTCCGTATAATATGCATCATAAGTAACTTTATATCAGGTAGAATGTTTTTGTCCTACATTTAATTAGATGCTTAGAATTATATGCCCTTATCAAATGGGGAGGATGGGCAGACATCAGTATTATTTTGTATGGAAATTTAACAACTTAGCAACAGATTAAATAAACTGATCTTTCAGTTCAGAAAGTATTTTAGTCAAAATTCAAATGAAAAATGTTCGTCAGTGTTACTTGCTTACAATCACATTTTGTTTTACTAGCTAAGGTACTTCAGATAATTGTGCTAATAATGACATTTACAAATTGGGAACTTCAGGGTGTGGTGTGATCAGGAACAGATTACCCAGTAAGGAAGGTAAGCACAGGTTTATTTGTGTTTACTTACTAATCTGTAGTGCAGAAACTTGTGCACTACAGATTAGTAAGTAAGCACAAGTAAACCCATGTGTCATGAATTGAACTGTGTCCCCCCCTCCAAAATATCTGTCAACTTGGCTGGGTCATGATTCCCAGTATTGTATGATTGTGTGCCATTCTGTAATCTGATGTGATTTCCTTATGTGCCGTAAACTCAGTTACTGTAATGTAATAAAATGGACTAGCGGCAGTTAAACTGATAAGGTCTACAAGATTAGATAGCATCTTAAGCCAATCTCTTTTGAGATATAAAAGAGAGAACTGAGCAGAGACACATGGGGACCTCATACCACCAAGAAAGCAGTGCCGGGAGCAGAGCGCATCCGTTGGACCTGAGGTTCCTGTGCTGAGATGCTCCCAGACCAAGAGAAGACTGATGGGTGACAAGGACCTTCCTCCAAAGCCGACAGAGAGAGAAAGCCTTCCCCTGGAGCTGATGCTTTGAATTTGGGCTTGTAACCTACTAGAATGTGAGAGAATAAACTTCTCTCTGTTAAAGCCATCCACTTGTGGTATTTTTGTTATAACAGCACTAGAAGACTAAGACAGAATTTGGTACCAGGAGTGGGGTGCTGCTCTAAGGGATACCTAAAATGTGGAAGCAGTTTTGAAACTGTGAATGGATAGAGGAGCAGCAGTGACAGAGGACCACCAGCAGCAGAGAACCTGCAGCAGTGGAGAAGCAGCAGTGGCAGAGAACCAGCAGCAGCGGAACCAGGAAACCAGTACAAGATGGCACTAGAGCCAACCCACGGCGCAAAAGAGCTGAGTGCCTATGCACATAAGGCTTTCTGGCAGAGTAGGGTAGCTCTGAGCACTTACCGGTGGAGCTACAGAGCTTTGGAATACTTGCCCAGTAGGGCAGATGCAGGCACGAGGCCTGCGGGCCAAGAGGCCAAGAAACCAGAAGGCAAAAGCTGAAGAGACACAGAACACAAGAAGCTGAGCTGCCCCAGTTTCAGAAGGTATGGCCACGACCTCTGCGGTCTCAAAGGGTGGAGCCACAGCCTCCGGTGTTTCTAATGGTTGAGTCACCACTCAGATGGACTAGGAGAATGGTGCACCTAAAGCCGAGGGAGCCGAGTTGCCAGCCCTGTGGGCTTGGAAGGCGGAGCTGAAGCCCAGGGCTGAGGGGCCTCCACTC